GCTGCAGGCGCGGCAGCAGGAGCCGCAGCCGCAGCGGGGGGCGTGGGAAGTACAACGGGAGGGCTTATTACGGAGACGAGAGAGTAACTCATGTGATGGAAATAGAAGATGACGATGCCTCTTTCATATTGGGAGCAGGTGGGTCACTTGGTGTTACTTTTGTTTGTTGGCTCCTCTGTCTTTTACGTTCTGCTGCGTCTCCGTTTTCTGTCTCCCCAGTGCCCCGCGGGGGCCTCTCTGGCTCACCTCCCCCGGCGCTGTGTCCCGATGGAGCCCAGGGTTTGGGGTTTAGGGTTTAGGGTTTGGGGTTTAGGGTTTCGGGTGGCGGTGCGCGTGGCCGGCGCCGCGGCGCCGAACGCGGAGCGCAGCCCGCGCCGCCAGGCCGCGGAGCGGCCCCACGCCCCACGCCCCACGCCCCAGGCCCCAGGGTTTAGGGTTTAGGGTTTAGGGTTTAGGGTTTAGGGTTTGGGGTTTGGGCGAGCGCAGGCGGGCGCACGAAGCGGAAGCTGAGCCACGTGTGCGGCGCGGAACTCAACATCGAAGAGCGCGCCGGCCGCACCGTCTTGGAAATGCGCGGCAGCCCGCAGACGCTCGAGCGCGCGAAGCTCTACGTGGGTTTTGTGATGCAGCAGCGGGTGGGGCCGGTGCAGCTGCCCGCGGACGCGGAGCGCAGGGACGACCTCACCATCATCGAGGCGAGCCTGCATGCGCGTGCATGCGTGCGTGCATGCGTGCATGCGTGCATGCGTGCGTGCATGCGTGCATGCGTGCATGCGTGCGTGCATGCGTGCATGCGTGCATGCGTGCGTGCATGCGTGCATGCGTGCATGCGTGCGTGCATGCGTGCATGCGTGCGTGCGTGCGTGCGTGCGAGCCTGCATGCGCGTGCATGCGTGCGTGCATGCGTGCGTGCGTGCATGCGTGCATGCGTGCGTGCGTGCGTGCATGCGTGCATGCATGCATGCGTGCATGCAGGGGCACGCACGGGCATGCGTGCAGTGCGTGCGCGGGGGGGGCGCCGTGCGCGCGGGCGGCCGGCAGCTGCAGCGCGCGTGCAGGTGCAGCCGGGCGTGCACGTGCATGCAAGTGCATGCAAGCGCGAGTGCATGCAAGAAGTGCATGCGGGAAGTGCATGCGGTTGCATGCAGGTGCCGCACGAGTGCGTGGGCTACGTCACGGGGCGGAAGGGCGCGGGGCTCCGGAGCGTGGAGGAGGAGTGGAACACTTTGATGTTCTTCACGGACTTGAGGTCTGAGAAGGCGGGACAAACCGAAAGACTCGCCATCTTCGGAAGCCAGTCAGTGCCGCTGCTGCTGCTGCTGCTGCTGCTGCTGCTGCTCGTTTGCTCCCGTTGCCTCAGAACAACAGCAACAACACCAGCAGCAAAGCAAACGACAAACAGTACACTTGAATAAATAGTAAACAACTAATTAATTGCTCAATTGGTTAATTGATTAATTGGTTAATTGGTTAATTGGTTAATTGGTTAATTGGTTAATTGATTAATAATTGCTGCTGCTGCAGACGAGCGCGGCGCGGAAGCGAGTTGAAGGTGATGTCTGCGGTGGAGCAAAAGATGCCGGGCTACTTCACGCAAAACGTCGCCGAAGGCTCCAGCCCCAACGAGGGCTTCGACACGGACTACGTGGCCATTGCGGAGAAGGACTACTCCTACGCGCTGGGTACGCATGCATGCATGCATGCATGCACATGCATGCATGCATGCATGCAAGTGCATGCAAACGCATGCATGCAGATGCGTGCGTGCCGATGCACGCAGATGCATGCATGCGTGGACGTGCATGCAGATGGATGCGCGTGGGGGCGGGTGTGTGGGGGTGGGGAGGAAGTGCGGTGGGAGGGAGGAGTTGCACACCGTGCATGCATGCATGCATGCATGCATGCACGCATCCGCGCATGCATGCATGCATGCATGCATGCAGGGCCGTTTGAGGGTCTGTGTGTCCCCAAAAGTGTCGTCTGCACGCATGCACATACACAGCGCTCCTGCCTAGCTGCCTGCATGCACGCGGGCCTGCACGCGCCTCCGCTGCATGCATGCACGCACGCATGCATGCACGCATGCATGCATGCATGTGCGTGCGGGGCTGCGCAGGCCAGCGGGGCAGCACGCGGAAGAAGCTGGCGCGGGCCTCGGGGGCCATTCTGGAGTACGTGGGGCGGATCGCTTATATATCGGGGACTTTGCCGGAGCGCATGCGCGCCAAGCAGTACCTGCAGTGGCTCTGCATGCAGCGGACCTCCTTCGTGCACGTCGACACCGCCGGCAGGTGCCTCCTGCTGCTGCTGCTGCTGCTGCCGGGCTGCTGCTGCTGGGCTGCTGCTGCTGCTGGGCTGCTGGTGGTGGAGCTGGTTTGCTGCTGGCGGTGGTGCTGGTTTGCTGCTGGTGGTGCTGCCGACTCGCTGCTGCTGGTTTGCTGCTGCTGCCGCCCCGCCGCGACCTCCGCCCCCGCCGCCGCCGCTGCTGCTGCTGCTGCTGCTGCTGCTGCTGCAGGGAGGACTGCGAGGTGGTGCAGCTGCCGCTGGACGCGGTGGCGTACGTGACGGGCTCCAAAGGCAGCAACTTGCGGCGCGTGGAAGAAGAAACTGGAACTTTTATTTTTCTCGACGGAGCCCGCGGAGGCGGCGAAGAAAGACTTTTGATTTTCTGCTTCGACCCCGACGCCAGGCGCAGGGCCCGCATGCGCATTGAAGACCGAATCGACGAGAAGCTCTCCGGCAGGGCCAGGTCCAAACCCTAAACCCTAAACCCTAAACCCTAAGTTGGTGTTTTGACGGTTCGCGGGGTTTTGGTGGGGGGGAGGCGTGGACTTCCTGGGGAGTGGGGGGTGGCGAGCTTCACTAAACCCTTTTTTGCGGTTTAAAGCCCGGGGGCTCTTCCCCCAAACCCTGGCAAACCCTCGCCAGCCCAACAGGCCCTCCTAAACCCTAGCAAACCCTAATTCACCTCGGGAAAAAAACCGTGCAAGCTCCTACTCACCCTCCCCTGCTGCTGCTGCTGCTGCTGCTGCTGCTGCTGCTGCTGCTGCTGCAGGCCGTTGTACCACGGGGGCAGGTACCGGTCTCCGTCTCCGCGGCGGGGAGACTACGGGGGCTACGGGCGTTACGAAGAGCGTGGGGGCTACGGGGGCAGCAGCTACGGGGGCAGCAGCAGCAGCAGCAGCAGCTACTATGGGGGGGGCGGCTACCCCAGCAGCAGCTACCGCAGCAGCAGAGGCAGCGGCTACCGCAGCAGATCTCCCAGCAGAAGCAGGGGGGGCTATTACAGGTCCCGCAGCAGATCTCAAGACTACTGGAGGGGCAGATCCAGAAGTCCTTTCCGCAGAGAAAGGTCTTACAACAGGTGCGGCTTCCCCCACTGATCCGCCTGCTGCAGCGCATGCAAACGCATGCAAACGCGTGCAAACGCATGCAAATGCATGCAGACGGACGCGCGCGTTTTTTTGATGCATTTGCATGCGTTTGGGTGCATTTGGGTGCATTTGCATGCATTTGCTGCACTTGCATGCATCTGCATGCAACTGCATGCATTTGCTGCATTTGCATGCATTTGCTGCACTTGCATGCATTTGCATTTGCATGCGGAAGGAAGAGGCGGGGATCGGGATCGGTTGGAGGAAGCGGAACGAGGGCGAGGTTTTGCTGCGGCTTCTTTATGTGCTGCTGCTGCTGCTGCTGCTGCTGCTGCTTGTGGGGCGAGAGTGTGGGGTGTTGAGTGTACGTACACCTGGTTGCGGAGGCGTAGGTCTTGCCTAGCTGCGGGGCCGCAGCGGTGCTGCCGCCGGCGCCCGCC